GGTCTCAGAACATGGGGCGGTGCCCCCAACTCTATGCCTCTAGACAAGTTCTTTATTTTCTCTTATGAGTTTGCCCAAAGCTCCCTCTAGTTTTAACAATCTCTGGTAGAACTAAGCATGGCACCAGCACCCTGTCAGGACAGCTAGAGGCTGTCACAGAATTTTCACACTGCCTTGCATATCACTGGGAGCATGCAGGGTAGGTTGGAGCCGTGAGAAAAGGCTATTTCTTGTACCCAAAAAGATCTGGGTTAAAGTCCCAGAAGTAACACCTTGGGCAAACTCCTTAACCTCTCTAAGCCTGATTCTCCATTTTTAAAGAGAATTTATACTTTGCAGAACTGCTAAGAGAACTAGAAATAAAACGTGGCTGTCTGATATAAAACCCAAAAGAGATGATGCTCCCCTGTCCACTTAGAAGACGTTCCCACCATTGTAAAGCAATTATACCTTAATAAAGATGTTAAAAAAAAAAAGAAGATGACGTTCCCTTAGAAGACCCTGACTGACTGAACTTTCCAACACTCTCCAAAGCAGGTGACAACAGTGGGAGAGCGCCCACGCAGAGCTTGGGGCATCTTTCTAAATTCTGATTCGGCTACGGCCTCTCACCTTCCAACGTGAGCAGGGCCGTCTTCTCTCCATTTTGACTTTGCCCCAAGCCAGGTCAAGACTGGATAACACCTAGCAAGTACCAAATATGCTACGTAGGCATGCTAAGAATAGAGGCTCCCACAAAACACTCTGTACTTTTTCTAAACACGTGCACACACATCACCTTATCCAAGGCAGCACCTAGGATTATCACAGCCTGCCCCCGTTTTTCAAAAGATGTGGTGATTGAGACTCAGCAGATGAGTTGTTCACCCCAGGTCACACAGCTAATGAGCAACTATCTAGAAGTCACACCTCCTGATGTCCATTTCTTTTTTTTTTTTTTCTTTTTGGCCACACCACGTGGCATGTGGAACTTCCCCAAGCAGGGATCGAACCCTTGCCCCCTGCAGTGGAAGCACAGAGTCTTAACCACTGGACCGCCAGGGAAGTGCCCTGATGTCCTTTTCTGAGCCAGCTCCCTAATTAACTAATTCACCTATGCCCGGCTCTGTGCATTCCACGGACACCTGGTGCCTGCTTCACTGGGATTCGTCCATTTAATCACTCAGCAATGGTTTACAAAGCACCCACTACGTGCAAGGCAGAGGTGCAGGAGCAAGCAGAGCACTCAATGAACAGTCCCTGGAGTCCCGCTGAGCGCAATCCCAGCTCGCCGGCTTGTTACCTAGGTGACCCTGGATAAGTACCTCATGTCTCAGTGCCCCGCCTGTCCTCCATCCATAAAATGGGCGAACAGAATCCGACCTCTCGGAGAGCTGTTGAGAATTAAACGACAGGGCACCCGTCAAGGGTTTAGCACAACCCATGGCCCCCACTAAGCACTCAAGCGTGAGCTGCTTTTATTCTTCCTCTAGAGTCTGGGGATACAGTCTGCAGTCACACAAGAGCCTTGGCCTCAAGCAGCTTACACTGCGGTCGGAAACACACAAAGAAGTAAAGCATCAACAGAAGTTTCAAATGGAGATGAGCGAGCGCTACGACAAAAACCAGTGTGCGACCGCGGGGATGGGCAAGCACTCTGGACTGAATGGTCAGGAAAGGACCCTCACGTGAGACCTGAACTACAAGAACGCAAGAGCGGATATAAGGCAAACTGGGGGCGCGAACACAACCCGTGCGGAGATCGCGAGCCGAGCAGGCCGGCACCTCGAGGGACAAGGAGGTCCTGAGGCCAGCGAAGAGGGAGCGGGGGCTTGGGGGGACTGGCACGGGAGGTGGTCAGTCAGGTCAGCAGCGCGGCTCCGGAACCCAAGGGGGGGCGGCTCGTTGTCTTCGTACACGCTTGGGCGTCCGCGGGCGGCGAGGGCACAGGATCAAACGTCCAAGGCGCACCCGGGCAGGGGTCCAGGTAACGAGGCCCCGCCCCCCGGTCTCCGTCCGTCCTCCCACCCTGAGGAGGCCAGGCCTGCGGCGCCTTCCGAACTCGCGGCCCTCTCGCGGCGAGCGCCGGCAGACGCCTCCACGCCCGCCCGCCGGCCGCCCGCTCACCCGGATGCCCTGCAGCACCCGGACCCGCTCCTCCTGGTCCATCCCGAGGGACGCCCTTCGGCCCTCGCGGCTCTCGGTGATGCCCATGGCGGGAGGGGGCTCCGGTGCGCCGGCGTTTACGGGACCGGCGCCACCTGCCAACAAGGCCGCGTCCTATTGGCCGAAGCTCGAGGCTCAGCCAATCGCGGGGCGGGCCGCGCGGCATTGTGGGGGCTGTAGTCTCGCGGTGGCCGCCCACTGGACCAGGAGCACGAGGCGCACCGCCCAGACGGCGCGTGGCCAGATGGCTGGCCGAGGAGCGTAGCCGCGGTGACCGGGACGCCACCACCGAGGAGGCCGCGCTGGGCGGGCGGAGGCGCTGCAGGTTTGCAGTGAAAAGACGGAGAGCGTGAAGGCACTGAGGAAGACAGCGACGTCGCGGTGCCAGGAGAGAAGCTGGCGGGAGGCGCCCCTCTGTGGGGGAGGCGGTGGAGGAAGAACTTCGTGCAAAGGCCCTGAGGCAGGAGGAGAGCGAGGGCCCAGCGAGGGCCCAGCGCGGGCCCCGAGTGCGGGAGGGTGCAGAGCAGACCCGGAGGCGGGCTGAAGGTCAGAGTGGAGAGGGCTTTGTCGGCGGGGCCAGAGCTTGTTCTAAAGGCCCGGGGAGGACAGTGAACGGCCCTCGGCGTTGAGGAGACACGCACCGTGTATCCAGCGTCGTGTTCACGCCTGTCTCGCGGGCTCACACGTGTGATGGACGCGGTGACTGCGGCTCACAGCCTCGGCCACCTGAACCCAGCCACCTTTTGTTCTCTGAGCTGCTGGCTCGCGTTCATCTGCCACAGTAGGCCCGGAGCTGAGTTTGGGATCTGGAACTGGGGAACCCCCGACTGCTCCATGAAATAGTAAGGGTCATTTGGAGGCTTTTCGAACCTGGAAGGGAAGCGGGGAGGAGCAGAGGGTGGAAGAAAAAGTGAGATGCTCTGAGATGAGAGCAGCTTGGGTGAAGAAGAAGGTGGACATTGGGGGGGGGGGGGGGGGACGGCAGGGGGAGTGCTAGAGGATTTTTATCCTCTAGGATAACAAGAGCATCTGCCAGATTCCTTCAAAATACTTTGATTTGGAGATCTTTCTCCATCTCTTCCCTATAAATAGAGCCTGAGTATGGGATTCTGGTGCAAATGGTTTACTGGGGGAGTGCCTCAGGAGAAAGCTGAGATGCCGTCAGAGCTGGGCTCTGGAGCACAAATTATGTCCAGAGTTGGCCCGGCTCGAAGGCAAGGGGACTGGCCTTCTGTTCCCCACAGCATTCTGTCATTGGCAGCCCAGTGAAGCGGGCATCTGTGAGCTCTCAGCAGTCCACACCCACAGCAGCCAGGGGATGGCCTCACGAGCTGGACGGGGCAATTTTAGCATCTACTTCATGTTCCTCACGTTTTTCAAGGTCTCCCGAATACCCTGTGACCGTGGAAGGGGTTATAAAAATTGAGGAAAGGGATGGATTTCACTTCTGAGTTGATGAAATAATTAACCACTGGACTAATTCATCAAAACAAGAGTCAGGGCCACAGGTGACTATGAGACTGTGTGTGGTCTCCCCTGCTCCCACCGTGTGCAAACTCCTGGGAGAGAATTGGAATCCCACAAGACTGAGAGTGGGGTTACACTGACACCAGCATAGCTAAGCCTCATGACAACCCAGCAAGTCGTGTATCCCTACTTCCCTGAAAAGAAAACCGAAGTGCAAAAGGGTGAAGAGAGTGATGTTATAAATCCAAAGAAGGGTGAGGATTTTAGTAAAAGCAGTGGCAGAGGAGAGAAAGGGAAGAGAAGTTCATGGTTTTTGAGCACCTTCGTGGCACCAGGCTCTGATGCAGGCACACATGCTTTGCATGTAGTTAATCCATGACCAACTCATTTAATCCTGGAAACCATCCTGAGAGAGTATTACCCCAGTCTAAGGCCCAGGAAATGGAGACTTTGGGGAGGTAAGGTGTTAGGACAGGCCCCCTATTTGCTGCCCAGTACCCATTCTCTCCTTCCTTATGACAGAACCCAGCTTCCTTAGGTGTAACAATGTGTCTGGTTAGAAAAATTGGTGCGTAAGTTCCCACTGGCCAAACTTGGGACAACTTGAGCATTATAGCAGTTTGACAGTTTGAACCTACAACATATTTAACTTTTTAAAAAATGCAATAGTCCATGCGTTAAAAGAGAGGGGATGTAAAAAAGGGGGGCAGGTCTTCTTTACAAAAGAATGCCAGCAAATCAGTGTGAGATTTAAAAATTGCCATTTTGTGACCCTCAGTGAATTAACTGAATCACGCAGAAATCATCAGTGGATCCTAAAGCTGTTGAGTGACAACTCCCAAGTCTCACCACAGATTTCTGAACAATCATAAAGAGAAAACTATTACATTGATGAGACCTGGAGGTCACTTCCTTAACTAAATGGCTGAACTTAGCATCACAGAGAGTGGGACAACATGAAGTGATGCCCCTCCCCAAGAGATGTAAGGGACACACAGTGTCCCCTTTGGAGTGTTGTGGCCAAGAATGCGTGACCTGAATCCATTCGTGAGGAAACAATCAGACGAATCCAGAATGTGAGATCCTACAAGACAGCTGTCCTGGACTCTTCCAGAAAGCTAACGTCGTGAAAAAAAAGTTTCAAAACATGAAGCATAACAATGAGACACAGCCATGAATCTTGATTATATCGTGGATTAAAATGACAGTAACAGCAACAAAGCTATAAAAAGGTACTTGGAACAATTGGGAAAGTTTTATATATGGAATAGTGTCCTAGGTGACGTTATTGAATTAAAGTTAATTTCTTGTTTTAGGGAGATGCATTTGGAAGTATTGGGGGAGTGTCATAGTGTCTACAACCTGCACTCAGATGGTTCAGGGAAAAAATGTTAACAATAGGTGAATCTAGGTGAAATATGTATATTGGAATCCATTATATCTTCCACTGTTTCTATGGGTTTGAAATTTTTCAGAATAATAATCAGGAAATAAAATTCTGCACTTAGGGAAATAAAAAATACTTCCCTCTCTGGACTCCCTTCTCCTTTGTAGCTGGAGGTGACCGTGTGACCTAGATCTGGTCAGATGGCTCTTGAGCAGTGTGGTACCCAGAGAACAGTGCAGTCAGTGCTAAAGAGAGCAGTGAGATGGGATGCAAGGCTGAGCTCTGCCTCCTGCTAGACCTGTGCCCCTCAGTTTCCTGATATAAGAGTGGTGCTACCATTACATGGAGTGCTTGCCCAGAGCTTGGACTTAGTGAACTCATTCAGCAATAGCTATTATTATTGAGAGTTCTTTTTTTTTTTTAAGTAACTTGGCAACCAGTATAGGGCGTGGGGGAGGGGGAGTTGTGTGAGCTGGCGTCTCTTAAATTGGATTCTCCAGAAGCAGAGAAGAAGAAATGGGCTGATAGAGTAGAAAAGTCAGAAAAGGAATTTGCTTTGTCCATGTTAAAAGCTAAAAGGAAGCTTTTCCTATAAGATCAAGAAAGAGACAAGGATGTCTGCTTTCACGACTTCTATTCAACACGGCACAAGAAAATGAAATAAAAGATTGGAAAGGAAGAAGTAAAATGATCTCTATTTGTGGAAGACATCATCTTGTATATAAAAATCCTAAGGAATTCACACACGCGTGCACACACACACACACTCAACAGAGCTAGTAAGCAAATTCAGCAAGGTTGCAGGGTATAAGAACAGTATACAAAAATCAGTTCTATTTCTATATACTCACAATCCAAAACTGAAATTAAGAAAACAATTCCACTTACAATAGCACCAAAAACAATAGAACACTTAGGAATAGGTTTAGCCAAAGAAGTACAAAGCTTGTATCCTGGAAACTAAAAAACACCGTTGTCTAGGAAGGGGGCTGGAAATGGACGGGAAAATAAAACTTGGAATAGTGGCTACATGGTTTATACATTTATCAGTACTCACTAAGCCACGCACCTAACATCTAAGCATTTTACAATATGTATATTATACCTAAGTAGAAGTTGAAAATATTTGAGGAGGTTTAACCTAACGTTTTATTTCTCACTCAGGCAAAATGTGGTTGTGCGGGACATGGCATTCCCGGCCACCAGAGAAGGCTCTCTACCTGCACGTCTGGAACATGTGGCTTCCTCGGCTGACTCAGCAGGACGAGTGAGCCTCAGAGCCTAGAGAACGGAGCCCCAGCTTTCCCTGCCTCGGCAACTGTCACCCCCATTGACATCCACTGGCCATTCAGGCCCACTGCCCCTCCCACCCTCCCACCTGCAAGAGTGGGGAAGTGCCGTCTTCTGTGAGTAGAAGGAGAAAGGAAACATCTAAACACTAGACCATCAGGCACAAGTGGTGAATGAACAGCTCACTGACCCCTTACTGTTTCCTGAGAAGGTCCACGTAAGAAAGATGTACTGATAATGACCGAGAAATTCCAGCCGCTGAAAGATCACATTGAGACAAAATCACAATCCATTCTGTGCACAGGTGTCATGATGACAGCATACACACGTCTAATGCCACACAGTAACCATGTTCCATGGATCTTCTGTCTTACGAAGGTGTTTCCTGGGTGCTATGATTGTGACCCAGCGACGCGGGCGTGTTTGTACCTTTGAAAGCAAGTTGTTGCTGCTCGTCACTTGCCTGACTTTCCCTTTTGCTGTGTGCTGACACACGCTTCCTCTGGGCTAAAGTTTGGAGACCACTGGGGAGGAGTGGAGCCCTGATGAGAAGGGGGCTGGAGTGACGGATACTCTCACGCAGGAGGCTCGGGTGGGCCCACGGTCTGGGAGCCACCCAGAGGAGTCACTGAGGGAGTGGGGCCCCGGTGCTGGGGAGCATCTCCGAGTTTTCTGTGACTCTCCACCTCTGAACCTCAGGCTCTTCATCTGTAGGATGGGGGTGATTCATGCCCTGGTAACCACCCTGTACAGGCCTGGGAAACGAGAGTGGCTGGATGCGGGGCCATCTGTAGCGTTCAGGATGTTTGGGCTCGCGCTGAGGCTTTTGCTGAGCGTACTGTGAGCTGGATGGCTCCTGAGAGGTGGAGGATAGGGGCAGAGCCAGCTCCGTTGAAGGAGAGTGGGGTTTGGAGTGAAGCAAGGAAGGCAGAAACCTGGTTGAAGAGGAAACTTGGGAAAGGCGGTTATGATTCCAACTGACAGATGGATAGATGTTGTTCAGTAATAGATGGCAGGACCCTCTCTTTCTTTCCATGTAATTCATTTTCACTAAAGTTTGCCTCAGTCAGCAGTGCCTTTAAATTGGATTAGGTAGTTTCGTGCAAAGAGTTTGTGTCTGGCCCCAAGCAGGCTCAACGAACCTCCCCCAAATCCATCCTCGGACCATCAGTAAGAACCCTTTAGAGGACAGTTGGCCAACGGTGGCCCTAGGGAAGGAAGTGGCAGGGCCCTGAGTAGGAGGAGAATGGGCTGTGGCGGGGAAAACTCCGGAAAGGCTGGTTGGATCTTGAGGACAGAGGCCTTGAATGCTGGGGATGTCCTTCTACCCTGAGGCATGGCAGTGGAAGACTCTTGACTTGGGGGGCTGTGCTTTGGGAAGCTCTCTGCAACCCCTCAGTGGAGGACCTCTTCACAGTAGCTGTGGAGATAGATGGCTGATGACAGGGCCCACCCCTGAAGCACAGCCTGCCCTTCACCACCATCTGAGTTTGAGGGAGACTGCAGGACCCTCCCCACTGCCCCGCCCTGGCAGACACTGGTGGTCCGGGAACCTCCTCTCTCCAGCCTTGTGCTTCCACAGGGAGGGACAGGCATTAGCGTGACACTTGGGTAGAAGTTCCTGCGGGGATTCGGCATGTGACACCGTGGCAGCTCTCTCCTCTCCTCTCTGAGGTCTGCCTGCCTGCTTGGAGCGTGTGCTTCTCCATGTGGGGGACTCAGTGCAGACAGTCCGGGTCCGTGGAGGATGGAGGCTCTTCCCATCTGCCTGCCCAGCAGGTTGGCCGCATCTCCCCTTGCGGTGTCGGTGTGGAGATGCCAGCCTGGGCTCGGAGCATCACACCTGCCCACCTCTGTCCGCCCAGCTGGAGGGAGTAGCTGCGGAAGGGCGCGCTCCCTTTCAGCACAAAGGAATCTCTCCCAGAAGCCAGTCTCTCCTGGAGTCATGCTGGTCACCCCAGCCGGGGCCTGCGCTGGCAGAGGGGGCAGGGTGGCCACGGCAGGTTAAACCTGCGCGGATCACTCCCCAGGCCTGACGGAACCAGCCGCCGGCACCGGTAATTAGCCCCCTTACGGTGCTCCCCTCAAGCACCCCTTCCAGCCGCTCACGGGACCGGGCGGCTGCGTGCATAGGGCTCCCTGCGAGCGTGCCCGGGGGGGACAGGGCGCACCGGCCGCCGGGAGCCTGCGCCCCAGCGCCTCCCCAGGACGGTCACCCCCTGTCGCGGTTCTCCCGAGGGCAGCTTGCTGCGCGTAGGCGGCCGGGGACCGTGAGCGCTGCTAGCTCAGTGGGAAGAGAGAGACGTTGGCTCAGCAAAGCCGCGTGGGCCACGGACTGTGGCGGCGTAGCCGGAGCGGAGTCCGGTCAGCCTATTGCGGCCTCCTGGCGAATCAGTCGGTCTTTACGCGCCCCACCCCCGCACACGCATGCACACGCAGGTACGCACGCGCAGGTACACACATGCGTGCGCACGTGCCCGCCCACGGCTGTAACCTGAGCTGGGCTTCCCCTCTCCAGCACAGGCTCCGGCCCTGCTCCTGGCCCTGAGGCCCCAGCTCGGGGCCCCGGAGCAGCCTGAGCACCGCCACGGGGGCCTCGGGGGCCAGCAGACCTGGACCTGCCCCTGCGGCCCCGCCCGTCCGTGATGCCGCCTCCCCAGCCAGGCCCACCCCCCACCTCCCACTGCTGTGTCTTATCTTCTTCCGTCCTGAAAAGACTCTCGGGATCTTTGCTGCTTGTTTGTTTACCGCTGGTCTCCAGCCAGTACCACCCACAACACGCACAGTTCCCCAAACAGAAGCTTCGGAGCAGAGGGACTGTGTCTGCTCCATTCATCCCTGAATTCCGGGCACCTGGCACAGGGCCTGGGACGGAGTGGCGCTCAAGGCATCGATGACTGAGTCACTGACTGGCTGAATGGGCTCCCCTACTGGCGAGCGAGTTGCTCCAGGTTCAGAGAGGCAAGAAACTGAGTAATTAAGAGTGAAGATGTTCATCTCAGTCCCAGCTCGGCTGCCTGTGTGGCCTCCAAAAAGTTCCTTCACCTCCCTCTGCCTCGGTTTCCTCATCTGTAAAACAGGCATAAGCACAGTACGTACCTGTAGCGCTGATGTGGGATTGCATGAGTTAATACATGTCATGGACCCAGAACAATACCTGGCAAAGAGGAAACGCTCAGTTATCACTAGTTATTGTTGTGCCACGCATCAACCAAAGAAGCCTGCCTGCTGAGGCTCAGACAGGGGACATGGCTTGCCTGAGGTCACACAGCAGGAAGGAGGCAGACATGAGATCTGAACCCTGGTCCAAACGTCTCAACAGCCAGAGCCCTTTCTAGGGTCCCACCTGGCTGTGGCGCCTCCCTTGAAGCGTGGCCTGCCTGGCCCTTGGGTGCGGGGCTTGGGAGCTGGGGTGAAGGCCCGGGAAAGGGGGTTGGGGTGGGGGAGGGCAGGAGGGGCTGCTGGGGAGACCGTCCTGGTACTGGCTCCCTGCCCCACTCTCGATCCCTTCCACCCCCCGCAGCTGCACCCACTCCCCACCATGGGACTCTTACAGAGTTTTATGAATCATTAAAATGTACGCACAGACTTTAAGGAAATAACACTGGGCTGTAATAAGAGCTACAAAGCGACAGGATTCCTCAGAGAGCTCAGTGGTAAACCTGGATGCCTACTTGGCAAGATGGTTTTCCAGCCTTTTGTGTCTATTAGCAGGGGAAGGGAGGGACCGATGGGGGAGTGCGCCGTGGGCTCTGAGCAGCCGCAGGAGGCTCCTTCAGAGCAGCCTGTACCTTTTCTGCATTCAAGGTCCCACACAGAGCAGCGGCCACACCAGAGCGTTGGGGGGGACCGTTACCTCCCTCCCATCATCTCCGTCACCCCTCTCAGCCATGCTAAACAAAATACCCTCTAAGTAGAAGCCTTGTGTTTGCATTGCAAATGGAGCTTCAAAATAGCCTCCCAGGTTTTCACCAGTGTGATAGAGAAGAACATTTTGTTTTAATTTTAGTTGCAATTCTCTATTACTATATCTAAAGCTAAGCATCTTTACATTTGTGCTGGTCCTTGATATTCTTTTATCTGTGAATCACCTCCTCATATACTTGGCCCACGTTGCTTGTTTTGTTCTGTTTTGGTTTGGGTCCTTTCGTTATTGGTTTGCAGGAGCTTTTATATGCTCTAGATGTCACTCCTCTTTTCGAATGCTCTATTTTCTCCCATCTACCACTTGTCTTTTAAATGTAGGTCATTTTTTGACAAACAAGTTTAAACTTTTTTCATTCAACTATCTAATTCATGCTCTTTTTTGGGTTGTAGGTTTTATGTATTAGTAAGGAATTACCTCCTACTGAACTTGTAAACAGTTTTTTAACGTTTACCTTTTAAAACCATTTGCAGTTTATTTTTTATTATGCTATGGGATTATGCTGGATAGAATGTTTTCATATAAATAACCAATTATGTAGATTTTATATATAGCCTTTATCATTTATTGAATATTTTGTTTTGCCACTGAATTTAAAAAGCCAACTTCATGATACGCTATTTTCCATATGTACATAGTACACTTCTAGATTTGTTTCTCTATTCTTTAGCTTTTTTATGGCAACTCACCACTGATTTAACTACTATAACTTTATCAGATATTTGGATATCTGACAAGGAAAGTCCCCTCATTGTTTTTCTCTTTTAACTTTTCTTGACCACCTCTGGAGATTTCCCTTCTCGGGGAAAGAAATCATCTTGTCATATACCATTAACAGTCTATCTGAGATTTCAACTGGGGCTCCATTGGATTTATAGATTAATTTATGGGAGAGCTGATATAGCTAGCTCTTCTTTTTTTTTTTTTTTTGTGGTACGCGGGCCTCTCACTGTCGTGGCCTCTCCCGTTGCGGAGCACAGGCTCCGGACGCGCAGGCTCAGCGGCCATGGCTCACTGGCCCAGCCGTTCTGCAGCATGTGGGATCCTCCCGGACCGGGGCACGAACCCGTGTCCCCTGCATCGGGAGGCGGACTCTGAACCGCTGCACCACCAGGGAAGCCTGCTAACTCTTCTTGAAGGCCATTCAGTAAACTTTGGTAGCTTTCTTTATTTAGTATTTAAACATTTTTAGGAGGCTTCTCTCTAAATATTTTATGGAATTTGCTGCTTTCAAGAATGAGTTCATTTTTCATTTCATTTTATAATTGGTTTTTGCTAGTATGTAACTAAGCTGTTGATTTTTTCTATGCTGATCTTATATGTGGCTGCACTGTTAAACTCTCTTATTGGTTTTGCCAATAGATTCTCTTGAGAATTTTCCAGGTAGATCATCCTGCGGTCTGCAGATAATCTCAATTTTGTTCCTTTTTTCCAGTATTAATGACATTTTCCCTCGTATTATAGTACTGGCTAGAATCTCCAATAAAAAGGTTGAATAGCACAATGATACTAACACTGACTCTTTTTATTTCATTATCAAGTGGTGACGATTACTGTAGAGTTTCAATGCCCTTTATCATATTAAGAAAGAACCTAATTTTCTAGCTGCTTTGTTTTTTATCTTGAAAGTGTACATGTTGAATATTTTCAAAAGTGTTTTTGTTCTCTATGAAAATAGTTATGTGATCTTTCTTGTACTCTAGAAAAGCAGTGATTTAAACTGGTAGATTTTTATTCTAAAGTTGAACACATACCTGTATTCTTGGGATGTCTCTTAATATACTGCCAAACTGAATTTGCTAATTTTTAAAAAATAAAAATCAATTTAATTTACAAAATAATACTATAAAAATGTTCTGTTCATCATAATTTAAAATTAAAAACACGGAACACATTCAGTTAATAAAAACATAACATTTACATATTTTTGAGATTTTTTAATGAAGGGAGAGAAACAAAAAAAGGTTAAAAACGAAAGTGGAAAAAGGACACTTTCACACAAACATCTAGACACAAAGAAACTAAAAATGTGAAACTAAAGAAAAAAGACAAATTCGAGAACAAAGGCCAAGAGACTCACAAACATATTCGGAAGACATACAGCTGGACATATAGATGAAAAATAGATAGATGTATACACAATT